CTAACCTATCATCGTAGTTAACATGTTTTCATTATAGGGATCACTCTTAACATTACCTTTGTAGGCTGCTCTCGAGTCGCATGGCCAGTCCAATAGCAGTGGAATTGTAGTCGATAAGCTGATTTGAAGCAAGATTTTACACACGAAATAAGTTCACTAGTAAAATGTAGTGCGTTCATTCGCCTACAACAACCATATCAATGTTCAGGTTCAGGTATAGTCAGAACTTATTATTGATGATCAGGCAACCAATAACCTATCGATGTAACATAGAACCATTGAACATAATCAATCATCGTTTGTAAAAACGTGTTTGGAATAGACTTAAAACGCCAGAAGAATTTTTGGAAGTGGAAAATAGCATGGATTATATGATTTTTTTATCTGATTGATAGGCTTACCTGCGACTACGGAGGTACTGGACAACCGAACTGCGTGCTCAACAATGAGATCTAGCAAGAAGTATTGATTTGTGAAAATGACAACAACTTTATGGCTTGTTATGCGTTTTATCAGTAAAGATATGAGAGGAGCCAATGCATATTGCCCAGGAACAAAAATAAAGGACTTTGTCAATAAGAGGTTGAAGATAAAGGTTGTAGCTTATCTTTTATACTAGATAAAGTTGGAACTCGCAATCTCTAGGACTCAAAACGCATCCGTAATCGTAATCGCTACGAGAGAATCAAATTTTAGAAAGCTATTTACATCAAACCGTCGTTAATACGCCTACGTTTACTAGTGATGTTTATAGAAACTGTGACACATTTTTTTTATCCTAGGACGCTAGGCACGAGCCTGGGATTGTTTTTTCACATTACTTCAGGCTAGACCTAAAGGTTCAGCTTTATCACTTAGATAAAATCCATTGGTGATTTGGCAGGATTTGAACCCGGGACCTCTTGGACCGAAGTCCCGTGCTCTAACCACTAGACCAGGTCGCTCCCAACACAACAATATTACAAGTATATTATAATCGTTGGAAAATTATTCGACGGAGGTTTGTAAACCACCATTACGAACAACCACTCAGTTGAAAAAAATCAATGCCAAAAAGGCTTCTACGATATAACGATAACAGCCGATTTCCCATTTTCGAGCCAACTGCAAAGGAGCATAGAAATTTCTCAGGAGATGGACTTAATTACATTGTCCATTGTCACTGGTGTAATAAATGGAAGTTTAGATGGCAACACTGGTGACAGTCGTTCTAGCTGCTGTTGCAGAGTGTCAAACTTGGGGTACACATGGTCACATAGTGAATGAGGAATGTCATATTTCTATTTCTGGAGCAGGTTGGTCTGCATGCCATATGTGATACAGGAAGAGCCTCAATGGCTTATCACATAGGGTTTTGCTCCTCAAAGGGGGATGTTATATTACATCCAACGGTATACAGTAACAGTACCACAGTACTCCCCTAGTTGTTTAGTGTAGAAACATACAGACAGCGTAGCGTAGCCTTAGTCACTACACTACATGGGTTTCCTTAAACGTTGGTACACATTAGTGGATTTTAATTTGTCATGGCACCTGAAAATGAAATCCTCCAAAATCCATACCGTAATATCGTGAATAGTATGATGTATCGTGTGTGAATTAAATGCTCATCCCATAAACTTGTTGATTTTACTTTGGAGGACGGCGCTTCTTGCTAGGATCCTATCCTTAACATGAGCAATATTTTCTTGAATGTCGATTTGCTTGTGCGTATGCGTGCATGTATGTATGCTTGCACAATGATATCAAAAATGGCTTCGACGATTTCCTTCAAACGTTGTAAATAATTTATTTCTGGCCTATAAAAAGTGTTTACTGCAGTTACTACCAACAAAAATCTAATTACGTAACAAAATGAAATTGAAAGTCAAAATAAACATTTGCTTATGGGTTGCCAAATAACCATGTTGGTTGAACAAAATAACAAGGAAAAGGCAAACAATAAGCAACATGTGTTTATAACAACCAGTCACAGTATACTATCAAATTTCAAAATACAGTACAAAGGGAAAACATCAGTTGTTACTATTGAGCAAAGATTGCACTAAAGAGTTTCTCGATGTACGTGAAAATAGTTCAATTACATCGAATACTGATTATTTTACTTGGCTTTCTTCTACCAAAACTTAATCCCCAGAGGACCGAGGTAATTTTTAGAAAACTTTGATTTCACAGTGAAATACAGGTTTAATAATATTTTCCTTTTTTATGTAAATTAAAATTTTAACAACACTTTTCAATCAGCTACAGTAGGTATTTTAATTTAAACAAACTGTCAAAACAGTGTTTATGTAACTATAGGCTATTTTATAAACGAGTGATTTTAACAATCGTCTGCAAAATAAATTAATGTGTTGTGGATTGCCAGGTTAAGATTTCCATCATAATAAATTGAAATGCCACTGAAACTTAAATAATAAATGCCAAAATAGGTTGTAAATAAAACGTGAGTTTCTTTTATATTGATTTTACAATAGAAATATAAACCATACCGGGCCATGGCTCTGACCCCAGGTACTGAAAAGATAAAATAATGAAGTCATTTACGTAGGAAATCCTTTGTGGTTAACCTTGGTAATCCAAAATTACTTTCAAAACGTAGTTTTAAATCTGAAGAATGTTGGTTCGATAGGTTTCGATACAAAGGATGATAGATTCAGGTACCCAGACTCTATTTTTCATTGGGCTTTCATTAGAGTATGCTATCTTTGATAACAACAAGACCAGGGTTTGAACCAATGATTATACAAATTTAGAGTTGCGAGGTGACTAATTCAACAATAATCATAAATAAACTTGTGGTTTGATTTATAACAATTATGTATAGGTACGTGAAAGAGAAAGTCCTTAAACAATTATTAATAACCGCTGAATTCTCAAGTCACGGATATGTCAGATGAATGGATTAATAGTTTTGTCTTATCAGCTGTCCAATAACTATAAATAGACTCAAGTTATATTTATCACCCATATCACTCTCTTCCATTGATTTATCACTACAAATACACTTTTGTTGCTACTGTAGCCTACTAAAAGAGCTACAAAATTGATGTAATAACTTAACGAGATTAATCGGGCATTCAGTTAAGACAATGGGATAAAAATATGATTCAAATAACATTTTCCAAGTATAATTTGGTATTTTCAGTACCCACGTCTTCCATGTAGGCTAATGAAGATTGGTCACACTGTTAACATGGAATAAATTTAACCTTTACTTTATTTGTTTCTGGTTTGCTCTAGAAAATGCAGTATAAATTTGTCAGGGACAAAAATATACTTTTTACGAATAGACGTTGTGACGGGTACTAAATTACGCTCCATTTAGTAAGTTTGTGGTGTGGGCTATTTATAATTTCATAGACAGGTGCACAATTTCAAATCGGATCCAACACTGTTTTGCTAATCTATATATTGATGGGTAAGCATGTTTCTTTAAACATTTTTTCTCAGCTTGTGTGCATCGCAGGGAACAGCTACGCATACTGTTGGAAAGATATTTTCCTGTAGATGTGCAGAACCCCTTTATAAATTAAAATATGTTCAAAAATAAGCTCACAAATGGATTAAAAAATTAACATGGGTGACGAATCCATGCAAAAAAACATCATTACAAAAACCAGCAATTTTGAGGTGACGAAATAACAATCCATATACTGTATAAAGCCCAAATTACCCATGAACTTTTGAGAAAACTTCAAGTCACACCCCCATGAACCGTATACTTAAAATGTTCGTCATGATAAGAAACCATTATTTCATAAATTGCCCTTTAGGGTTGTAACTGCTTTCTAAAGGGAACTTTCCATACCTAATATTTAAAATACCTCAGCTGTACTTATTTGTTTACGTTATTCAGTTATCTTTTCAATTTATTACCTTATCAAAATCAGGTGTGATTATTTGTTTGTATTACCGTATTCTGTTTTGTTTATTTCAGCTTAACCTAATCAATCAATAGTTTTATTAATACTTATTAACGGGTTGAAGCCCGTGCTGATAACTTGTTCCACTTTCACTTTGTGGCATTCGATGTTTTGCATACGGTATAAATTATTCAGAGCCTATGCAAGGTAGGCATTATTTCTCGTCTCGGGCATTTTTTTTACACGATTGATAAAAATACATACCAAACAAAAATAAATAAATAATTGTATAATTCATCAAGTGATTTGTATAGACTATTTCATTGGCAGCACTATACCGGCATTGTTACGACTATACATGGAGGGTTTACGACGAGGCCAAAAGAGAGAGGAAGGCTATGCCGTGATAACGGGGGAACGGTGACACATACCGTGTCCGCTGCCAACCTCTGCTCTCCTGATACTCGCGGCGTTTTCTTCCTCCGATATTCGGGAAACTAACACCCCTTTAGGGGTGCCCTTGTGCCATTTTGTTATTTTCTGTTACCCTATGACCCTTGCATTTTAAAATCTTGAATTTAAAATGTTTTTGCCCAAATTGTCACGTTATACAACATTTGTTCTTTACAAGATTTCTTAGGCAAAATAACCCCCAAAACTACTTTTATTTAGCTGGCAAAAATGTATTTAAACGCGTATTTTTAAATTACTTAACTATTACTTGTGCAATGTAAATTGGCTATCCGACCTGACGTATTACGTAGTATTTTTGAAATAATTATGTAACTTAAGTAATCTGGTAACAATGTAGTAAGTATTTGATGAAAAACAGTGAATTTATTGTAGGTTATTGCGGCAGATGGCTTTTTAATTATATAAATTATCAGTTTTGGCAAATTTTCATGCAGCCATTAGTGTAATATTATAAAAAAAACAATTTTGCATGATTAGCAAAACTCAGCGCAGCGATAAGATAGAAGCGCACACGAAATTACAATCCGACCACCACACAAACCTGTTTTCAACTTCTATTTCTAGTCTCTTTGTCTTGCGCAAAAGAGAGGGGAGTAGTGGAGGGAGGGGGCCGAATATAACAGCTGCGTCAGCCATTTTGTTTCAGTTGGAGGGAGTCGATTGGGGTCACGGTCTCGTCGCTTTCAATTCTGTTTCAGTTCAGTCTCGGCTCGGCGCGGCCTCGCATCGCAGTGGATCGCTAACGTTATGAGTCGCACAGTATATTCCATTTGCGGAGTGATATACGTTCTTGGGTTTAAAACCTTTGTACAATGAGCGGTTCTAATGCGAATATAGGGAATGAAAATTTCATAGAATGGCTTCGTTTACAAGATGCAAACACGCGAGTGGAAAGAATTAGTAGTGTAAGTACTGTAAACTCGTTTTATTGTATATCTTATTGCAATTTAGCCTTTTCCCAACAAATAAGTATCAGAATTGAATAGTATAATATATTTTGTATGGTTTGTGTTGGTAATTGGTCTTACCCATAAATTACAATACAATTATAAGCTATATAAGCAGGGGTTATTATTCCCGCCGCCATCTTGTTATATGGATGCCATCTTGTGTTGGTCTATTAATTCCTTTTTCATGTTTACTTTAGTTCTTTTTATGAATTGTGTTCCTAATATGGGGTGATAAAATTATATATTTAAGTGTTGAAAAAGTGTATTATTTTTAGAGTAAATTACATGTTTTGGTGTGTAAAAATATCGATAACCGGTAACTTAAATTATTTAAAATGTTATTTAAAAAATGCTGTTTACCGTGTGAATATATAAATAAACTAATAATACCTCACCAACATTATTCATTATCTAGATCTCAGTAGATATTTGTGAACTATATACTATATAACTATACTCTTTGTTCAGACTTCTCATGCAATTTTATGCATTCGCCATTCTTATGCCTCAGGCTTGTTCAGTTAAGTAAATTCTATTAGACCTTGCGCATATTATACCCATTGCACGTTATTAATGTGACCGACAAATCATATTAATCCCTAAGGGGCTAGGCCCGCATCCTTTCGTCTGATAAGATTATTCAGTGGTTGGGATAAAGAGATTTCTTGGTTTGGGCCCTCTAGCGTGGAACTATGGGGGACTACGGAGGTTATGTGCACTATACCTTTTTTCGTCAAACATTCTTTACGACATGTGGTAGTCAACCGCCAAGATTTTTTAAATTTATATTTTTACTAGAAAGTTACAAGTTGTTTTTCCTGTTGTTCTTTTTAGTTGTGTTTGAGGCCTATATAGGTTCACTTGAAAAATTTACGCAATTTAACCAGTTATGCTGGTCAACAACGCAGCTTTGGCAATAAGGTGATTTAGCCACAGTATTCCATGGGTAACAGCAACACGGTCACGCCTGGCATCATGTTAGTGCGGGTGTTTATTGAAAGTGTTCATTCGAGTAATCTACGTAGCCTACATGTATAATGATAAATTATGTAGACCTAAATCAAGTTTTATGCCATTCTCCGTCTAAATTGATAGGTTGTTTGCTGAGCATCTTAAGCCCAGTTAGGAAATTTCTAATCGAGGATATCCAACCCAACATGAGAGGTAGGTAACCTCTATCCTTCTACCCTCTTAATATTCTTCTCAGTAGTGAGCCTGTTACACTCGTAAGGCTCAGGTAAGATATTATGATCCACCTCCCACCGTCGCTGAAAATACTAATGCCGTTGCAATTTTTTAAATACCAATATAAATCATGATGAACAATTGTTCAAACATGAGTCTATTCTTCACTTGTTAATTAACTTTTTTATCTGAAAAATAGTCTTGATAAATTTTTCATTAGCTCATAGCCTGCATTTTACTTCACTATATGATCGGACCCCTTAAGATTTAAACCTCTAACTATAGCTCTTGGTGAATTTTATTCAATGAGCAAACTCAACTTAATATAAAAATTATATTAAAGGTAATGTCTATATCTAGAGTGAAATCTTGCTCCCTAAGACCAAGATCCTTAATTCATTACCTCCGGTGGTGAGCTGGGGGGTTACCTTATTACCAAAGCTGCGTTGTTAACCATCATAGCTGGATAATCTGCGTCAATTTTTAATTATAAATATAAATTATTTACAACAACAAAATAAGACTTTATCTTTTAAGGAATTGCATTAAAAAGTTACAAACATAAAAACCTGACGGTTGACTACAGATGTAATATTCACTCTACCATTTGTCATCAAAATACTCTTTCACGGAGTAGTAGGCTCTTTGAAGAAGCCTATCTCGTACAACCCTGGCAAACGTTTTTTCCGGAAGACTGCTGATCTCTGGGGGGAGCTTGTTGAACAACTTCCAAGAAAAAGCCGGGAAACGGCGCTGTGTTCCCGTGAGATGGAATCTAGGAATGTAAATTTTGCTTCTGCTACGTGTATTATAGCTATGAACATATCATCTGGTCTTTATTAGCTCAATGTTTGACCTGAAATGTACAAGGGAGGAGAATATATACTGCCCAATAACAGTATGCACCTTTCTTTAGCCTTCTAAAGATTGGCTTACAATGTTCCAAAGGAGCGCTAGATGTTATGGCTCTCAAGGCAGATTTTTGTAGCCTGATTACTTCATCACACCCTGAAGCATGGCCCCATAACGCACCCTGAAAAGTTTGCCGCAAGTAACGTGACTATGGAACAGTCCGTGGTGGATGTTTATAAGAAAGGCTTCATTTAAGCTATTCTTTAGTCACCGCAGCAGTAAGATACCTCTAGATAACCTTTTGCATGCTTCATTAATTTGAGGTTGCCAACTTAATTTCCTGTCTATGGCAAAAGCCTAACAGTTTAACTTCTTGGGGTTGGTGGTGTTGTGGTACGGCCAAATCTTGACTTCAACTGCACACAATCTGTTGTGTTTTATCAGGTTTGACTTGAAATTCGTTGTTTCTAAACCATATCTCCGCTAAAGCAAGTTCAGCAGCTGCCACCTCAATGATTCTGCCCAATCTCGCTCCTCCCCTAATCAGTGTGGTATCGTCTGCGTAAAGGAGAGCTTCCTCCCCACCACTGAAGTAGTTTATCATTAGGAGAAAGGGCAGAGGGTCTAGAAGTGATTTTAGGGGACTCCATGTTCGACCAACAGTTAACCAGAGGAAGCACCCCTTACCAAAACAAACTGTTTCCTACATCTCAAGTACGACTTGAATGTCTCCAGTACGACACCAGTTGCTCCATAACATTCACGTTTTTAAAAGGACATCATGTGAGACAATGTCGAAAGCCTTACTCAGATCTAGGAGTGTCAGACTAATCTACTCTTGGTTCTCAAAAGCCTCAGATATCCTTTCGGCAACCCGAAGCAAGGCAGTTGAAGTCGAGCGGCCCTCCTTAAATCATGCTGAGAATCCGAGAGGAGTTCATTCTGATCCAGATGTTCGACCAGTTGAAATACATGACCATTTCAAAAACCTTAGGGGTCACAGGAAGACTACCAAGTGGACGATAGCTAGCGATAGAGGCCCGATAGAGGCGATGAGGTGTCACTTTTATTATAGACTGGCACAACTTTAGCTATCTTTAGTTCTTCAGAGAATATCCCATGAGCCAGGCAGGTGTTAATAACCAGGGTTAAGGAGTTAACCATATTACCAATCACACCCTTCAAAACCTAGGAGCTCATTCCATAGATATCCACACTGGAGAAAGAACGAAGACTGGTAACAATGTGCTTTACCTTTTCTGTTGTCACTGGCCTCCATAAGTCGAGTGGTAGTCTGACATTAAGGCCAGCTATATTAGTGATTGCGGCTTCTGATTGTGTCATACTTCTTACAACCTGTGATAAGCCATCGATGAAATGGTTTTTATTAAATAAGTACTGTCCTCGCAACAAAAATCGACCGTCTTTTTACGCAGGCCATTTGCAATACTCCGTGCGGACTTTCAGGGGTTATGAGCTTCAGAGATAATTTTTTCATTTGCAGCCAAGTACCGACCAGTTGCCTGTAAATTCTCTCTGCTCTTAGCTCTTAGGCTCTTAGGTACATACCATAGAAATTCCCTTTCATTTACAGTAGCCGTGCTTTTGAATCTATCAGTCAAGGTGATCACAATATAGCGAGGATGCTGGAGTGGGGGGGATGTACCAGTCCATTAAAACAGGTCTGCTGGATGGCTTTTTAGGACCAGAGTTGTGCCTACTTTTTATTCCAGAACTTGTCCTTTGCTTTAAAGGGAATATTTTATCAAAGGCGTTGCTAAAAAGATAAAGAAAGGCCCGAAAACAGCACCAGTATCAGTATGAACCGAAAGATTGTACCAAGAGGCATTTTTGAGCTCGTTACTTAAAATAAAGAAGTGTCTTACCAACAGTCCTATAATTAAAGACGTAATCCTTATGCCAAGATGGAGAGGTGGGTTTGCTTACTTGATGTCCTTGTACAGCCACCGTAACTGCTGAGTGATCCGCAATCACAGGGTCTTCAACGAGTGTAAAGCAGTCTTCAGGGACAAAATTGATCGCAGTACTGTCAAGGCAGGCAAGCCCCCTGGTTGGTTCCAGGTTGGTAAGGTAAAAATCATTGTACCTGAGGATATTTGTAAAACGCAGGGTTTCAGTAGCATTAGTGTTTAGATGGTCGTTTGCTAACATAGGCTAGATACTTAACCAAGAGGTCAAAGTATTGACTGGTATTAGCAGAGGGTGAATGGTAAACAGCAAGAATCGAGATGGATTGATTACATACCTCAATGCCTGTAACTTCAAAGACGAGTTCCATACAGAATTCTTCAAGATCAAGCTACTCAAAGCTAAGGTTGTTAATTACATATATGGCAACCCCCCCCCCTTTTTTAGGCCCTTTTTAGGCCTAGTGAAAACATTTGCCATGGTTTTGTCACGAATCACACTAAAATATTGAGAATTAGGGCTAGTCATCCAGTGTCCACTCAAACATAAGATGTCTGGTTTTGTCAAATCATTAAACATTTTTAAAAAGGTCCCATTTCGTCGATACACATTGTACAATAATAAAAGAAGTCTTAAAACTAGGGGGTTGCACCTGAGCTGGATCTAGTCCTAGGCCTAACTTGTTTCTATTTGACTGGGAGATATTTCTAAAAAAGACTCTTTACCGAGAGAAGCTGCTGGTAGCCAATCACCTTTCTCCAGACTTGGGAACGGAAAATTGCTCACTTGTACATCACTGGGCCAAACTTCTGCCTTCAGAATGTCTTCCTTGCTCTTGAAAGGCACTTTGATCTTGAAGGACAGGTAGCCTAAAAACTTGGTTTTCAGTTCTACACTACCAAAGGTATCTCACCACAAATTGATTTTATGTGTTCATATACGTCTTCTTTGGTGATTGTTTGAGCCAAACGGGATGAAAAATCCAGGAAGATTTGTCCACAGCTGCTACCTTTGACACAGTACAATGAGAACTCAGTGAGCCAACAACGACTTGATTATTAGGCCTGTTATTTCCGCCTATTTACAGAGACAATGCTATTAGCAGATGTTACTTTAGATTTTCTGTCTCGTTTCCTAGAGCCACTTAAGATCACTTTTCCACTTCTGCTGGGTCTGAATCTTTGCTGGACTCAATAGGCCTATCTATCGAATTTATCGGCAAGTTGTTTGTCTCATTCTCATTGCATGTTTTACTAGTTCCAGTGTTATTGTTTCTTTTATCTTCACTACCATTTCCAAGTTTGTCCGTTTCTTTTGTTCAACATCCTCTATGATTTTTTTTGTTAATCCCATTCGATTGTCCTTGATAACTTTTCTTCTCTGTAGGTAGGAGCAGAAGTATTGAAGCCACATTAGAGGTTCCATTTGACATTTTCTCATTAAGTCGTAGATTGAGCTTGAGAAACGCATAGATGACGTCAAGGGAGGTGATGACGTTAGTCTCCACTATGTTAAAATTTACAAACTTTTCAGGTTCTGGTATGTTAGATTCAGATTGATTGATTACGTAATTGACCTTGGTTTTGATTTCAGTTTTTTTTTTATATTAAGATTATTGATTTCTTTCAAGATAACACTAAGAGCAGAAGAATCATTGTGAACCAGTACTTTACCAACTTTTTGTTGTTCTTAACGTGACTTGATAAGGTTCCTAACATCAAACCGGCACGGCTCACAGTACCACATAGATTTTTCACCATGAGCAATAAATTTGTCATAATCCTCTTACCCATTCCAATGCACTTTGTACGGTGCCACTTTTCACACAATCCTTCACAATCATGGGCCAAATTGTTCTCTCCAAAGGTTTTATTACACACCACAAGTACAATGAACCTTCTCGTGAGTCACCACCATCTCCAGGAGTGAAGGATGTAAGCACTGGAAATAGCTACGAATTGATATCTTATTGCCTGATAGAAATAAATTTATTCACCTCAAAGGCTGGGGTGAAAAGAAACAAGTTTGCTTGAATTTAGCAAATTTATAAAAGAGATGGATGGATGAAGTTCGTTGGTTCGAAACCGAGCGAGATCGTTGTTGTATCCAGGTGCCATTTGGCATAACAAAAGATCTACGTTGATAGTATCAATACCAGGAGCTGAGCCGTTCTCTCACAAAAGACTTCATTGGCGATGAAGCAAAAAAATACAAGGGAGGGAGTGATGAAGGGAACAGGTCAATCGCAGCACCGAAGCCAGTCCAAGTGTATGGATGGAGTCTACGCACAGTGATGGAGGCGAGTTAGTCATGAGCTAAACCCTACCTCTCGTGCGTGCATATGATGCCTTGATAAATCTTGCTAAAGACTTTCAAACTGCGAACTAAGAGTGTTTCCCAGCAACGCAACGGTAACGTTTTCCACCAGCTAAAAGCAGGTTGCCGCATATTGTTTTTCAGCATCATTTCCGGGCCGAATTCAGTTTTCGAGAATCCATTGTTGATGGACTTTGTGTCCCAGTGATAGTTTTAAATTTACTGGACGTTATTAAACATTTACTAACAACTGAAATCGATCATCTAAACGTTTTCGCCTGAACTATTGGTTTTACAAAAACGGCGTTTGGTGGATGTGCTGAAACGTCGCAACGATATCCTGAACACAGTTGTCGTGCAACAACCCTCTTCTTAAACCTGTAAACGATCATGTCATATATCTAAATACAGTATTCAGGAAAGCATGTGTAGTTTTAGATACGCCTGAACACATACATTTCAGAGCTCCGTTTGTTATGTGTATAAAAGTGTTAGCACTGTTATTATTGAACTTGTTTATCATATTACATGTTAAAAATTAGTGTAATTTAGTATATGGTTTAAATTAAATCGTGAAATTTGATCAATCCATATATAAATCATAAAGCCCCATTAACCATATACAATGTTCGTCATGACGAGAAACCTTGCGCAAAACTATCCATTATTTCATAAATTGCCCTTTAAGGTCGTAATTCCTTTCTAAAGGGATCTTTCCATATACCTAATGTTAAAAATACCTGAGCTGTACTTTTTTTTAATTGTTATTCTCTTAATTTATTACCTCATTAAAATCAGGTGTGATTTGTTCTGTATTATGTTTTGTTTGTTTCAGCTTAACTTAACCAATCAATAGTTTTATTAATACTTATGAAGTCAAACGGGGTGAAGCCCGTGGTTAACAGCTAGTTATTATAAGTTTAACCAATACCCCAACCACAAGATTGAGGAAAACTCAATTTTAAATTAATTCTGAGTAGTGGGAGAAAGCGAGGTAGTAGGAGGGATAGAAGTAGTGGGTAAAACCGTTTCTTGCTTTACTCCCACCACGGCTCGAGCGAGTCAACGACTGAGGAGTGGCCGTGAGTTGGTTTCAGTTAGTGTATGTTAGGACGATTTGACTAGGTGAGGCGAGCGTAGTATATTGTGCTACGACGTGGCTATTTCCGTGGGTTTCCCCCTGTGTCTAGTGCTACAACTACGTACTTGAGGAGAATAATGTATGAATGATCTGACTTAAAGTTACTCTATATTTTTAAAGCATTTCAGTAATATAAGTAGTCGACAACTAAATTTCAACTTGCTCCCTTCTTTCAATTCTCAGTAATATAAATAAAAAAGTTTTATAGCAACTATTGAGTACCTCTTTTGATAGTGAACTTAGCTTTCAAAAGCTCTCTCTATGGCTCTAATGATATAACAACATGTACGGTATCAGTCAAGTCAATATTACTCTTAGATTTAACTTAAATTTTAAATGAGATCGTTTCTACATTGAGCCTGGAATTTAGTTCACTTGAGTAAAACCTATCCAAGGCTATCCAACTAGACTTCTATAATACTCGAATTTTTATACATACAGGAAAAAAGATCTCGTATATTGATATATAGTATATTAATTTAATGGAAAAGAATCGTGTCAACTTGAAGAGTGCGGATGGTCAGTACTGAATGATGAAAAACTGAACGATTGTAAATTCCCGGATTCCGCCGTGAACGGAGGGGTATGGTGAGTTCTCCGTGATCGTGGGATATGTTTACGATGTCGTCATGGCCGCGGGGGAATTTGTTTAAACTACTATGAAAATCTCATGGTTTCTCTGTATTTGTGTTAACGATTGGTGCAAATACTACTGAACACTAATTATTGACGCTCGTTCGCTACGCTAACTCGCGTCCAGGTTGAAGTTCGTTCGCTACGCTCACTCACATTTGGTTCCAAATTAGCTGTTGTCATAAATTTACAAAAATAATAGTGCTGCACCCTGTTGGTAAACCTATTAACTTTTAATGTTATTGAACATCACAGAATCAAATTATTTGGTTGAACCAGCTGTTAAGATACTTTAATTCCGTTCAAATTTGAGTACTCATAATGTTAATAAGGTATTGGCAAAACAATACCCTCTCTACCTGCTGAGTTTCAGACATCAGCAGGTAGAGACCTGCTGCTATGAACCATAAATATTCAATTATAGGATAGGTAGCAAAAATTACTAACGTAATGTAGAATTGTAAGTGAGAATAGAAAAAGTGTCCCGTAAGCAGAAAGTAGTTCCTGTTTATAAGGGAACTTATTAATACAGTACTAATTATAGAAACGTAAACCAAAAACATCATGTTTCTATTCCGTAATTTCAGTAAGGTAAATGCTGTTAACATATCGTTTTGTTACAGATTGCAAAATCGTTAAGCAAAATGAATGTACGAGGCTCGGCCATCAAAGCTGCTTTAGCGCAGCTGTCCCAGCGCTGTGAAGTTATGCTTGTTAGGCTTACAGACAAGCAGATTGAACATCACTTAAGGTAACAATGATTATTTGAACTATATATTGTTCTTTTGTTTAGAAATGCTCTTATAACACTTTTTAACTATTGAGTGGGCCTAATAAGATGTTTTCAGGTAGTAAAAACAAACAATTAAATGAACAATTTTACTAAAACATACATTGTATTTATTTCTTAAAGTATTGTAACTGGATTATTTTATTTCAGGCGGAAGCCATTACAAAACATTGAGTTCCGACATCATTTGGAGACAAACGCAAAAGAATCATCAAAGCCATGTTCTATTGAAGATAAGGACAATCCAAAACATTCAAAGAAAAAGAGAAAAAAGAAAACCGAAGATCTAATGTTGGAGCTATTTGGTGAAGATGTCGAAGAAGCCGTCGAAGGAGATGCCCCGCCAAAAAAACGTAGGGTTGACGAGCCTGGCAAATTGTTGCCTTCTAGCAAGAAAAAAAGACCTAACAAAGAAAGAAAGAAAGTTAAAAAATTCGCTCTCCCTTCCACAAACGGTGTTAGTTCTGAAGAAGACCCCTCCATCAAAGAGCTGTGGTCCATCCTAGGAATGGAGTCTCCAACTGACCGAACAGCGAAATATTTATCAGATTGCCAGAATTCAAATCCCTCAGGAACAGTAGCTGTGCACGCTACATTTGAGAATGCTGGCTTAGCCGATGCGTCGGTATTTATGCCTCAACCGGGTCATGATTCAATTCAAAGTTCCTTAAACGATAAAGGGTTAGGTGTTATCAATCAGAATAGTATCTCTGAAGATACGGTAGAGACGGAACAGTTTTTAACGATAAGTGGAACATTCAGCTTGGCAAACACTTGCTTTGAAGGTAGTCCTCCAAGTCACTTTCAAAATGTTTCTAACAACGATAAGAAGCCTATTACTCCAAATAGTAGCTTAGAAGAACATAACATCAGGGATATATCAATCTCTAGAGGAACAGATTTTACACAAAAGCAGCCCTTACAGGGCAGTAGCAGGAAACCGGAATCTAATGAGCCAAAATCTATAGTTGGCACTATCAGAGTAAAAAACCTAGGTTTGTTGGTTGATCCAAAGTTGCAACCAGATAATAATGAAAACACATTAATAACTAAAGACAAATCTCATTCAAACGCAAATTTATCAATGGATCCTACTACGAGTATGGAAGACAAGGTTGTAGCTACATATAGGTACTATTTTAATGAACTGGTGGAGGCAAAAATCCCTAAACTTGGTGAACTGTTACACCTTGCTTTAGCTGATGCTATGCGATTCCACAATACAATATCAAAGGCAAATAAATTGTCATCTCAAGAGTTAATTAAAGAAGAACGTCAAAGAGCACATAAGGATTACGATCATAAAATGAGGAGCAGAGGAATCGAATTTCATTCTCTTTGTGAAACGATTGTTAACAAGTTCGACGTAAGTTCTAAAAAGACTCTCTTTATCGCTTTATTTTGTCGTATTCTACACCATGCAAGCACTATTGATCCTGCCAATGAAGGGGAGGTAAGAGCAGCGGCAACAGTGATACTGGCAATGTTGGAAGCCCATAAATACAAAGACCATGACATTCTAGAGCTACTTAAAAATGACCTAGAACAATTTGAAAATCAAGTCGAAGGAGTTCAGCAAATAATAGCAAAATGTGTTCCTGGGATTAGCAATAACACATCTCCCACAATATCCCATAATAGTGATACTGTCCTCATCTGTAAACCTCCAGCCTCAAGTCAAAATTCTCAAGACAAACTGAATTCCTGTAACCTATCTTATGGTAGGAAGACTTATAGTAGGAAGAGAAATGATACCAGTCACATAAGAAGTAGAGCAACAACATCTTTGATGGCAAATCCAAACGCAAATGGACATACCTCAGTAAAAAACAACACTATTATTACAAACGACCCTAGCCAAGCCGCTAAACAAACTCTTGATGACAAGCAAAAAGCTTCCATGGCCCATACATCAAACGTTAAGCCTTCTACAGTGAATCAGAGATCTCCTAATATCGCAGATTCGTCCAATGCAGCTCTAAACAGAAGCCATCATAATTATCAACAAAATTGTAATGTAAATTTGGACAAAACCTCCCATAGGACAGTTTCTAATGGTGTAGTTGCTCACCCACCTAGGCCTGTAATGCAGAATAATAGAACAGTATCCCATAATCAACATACCAATTCTATTCTCAAAGTTCAGAATAGCTCTTTAGTAAATGAGAAAGTAACTGCAAATAGAATAAATTTCTCACCGTCAAACGACCCTAACTGTAATTCAAGTCTTCTGAAAAATAGCCAGTGCACCAAATCGCCTCAACTATTAAGGTTGCTGAATGGAGTTACAATGGCATCAACCCCCGTCATCACCTCTTTTACTACTTCTGACACATCTAACAGCCCAGCTTTGCCTTCCAGCTTGCATAGATTACCAGCATCCATAACAATAACACCGTCATCTATCATCCGACACCCAACTTCTTCAGTGACATCAACTAATATCCAGCCTACCCCAAAGCCTTCTGAATCAATTGACACCATGCCCCAAGTGAATAAAACACGCCCATTAGTTATCATGCCTAACACATCTAGGGCAGTAACAAACTCCTCTAGTGCTCATTCCACTATTGTAAATAGACATCAAACTCAAATTGTAAGAAATTGTAGTTACAATTTAAAGTCATTACTGGAGTCTTCTGTTTCAAGTCCAATATCCACTACTAGTAGTACAAATGATTTTTCACCACATAATTCAAACACTACCGATGCAAGTTCATTATCCTCAACTTATAGAAATATCGAATATGCCTTGAAGAAGATTGTTGCCACCAGAACTGGGAATGAGAAACTTCAAAAACAAAGTAATCTTTATAAAACAACGTCGGTCACCTCGGTTAATCCTGCTTTAACTTCAGCTCCAGCTCCACCTCATAACCAAAGTTTCTCTGCGGATTGCGTTGGAAATAGGAACACTGGAACAATACGAAATCCTTCCACTATGTCTTTAACAATTACAACCAGTCACTTAGCACCAACAACGGTGTCTCCAACCACTTCACCCACTGCTGAGGTATGTTGCAATCAACTTATTAATAGTAATAGAATAATAATTATTGAGACTATAGGACTGCTAATTTTACTATGATTTTAATGAAAAATAAGAGTTAATGAAGTCTTATCTTTAATCTAAAATAATTGTGCCTGCTAAATCTTTTTCTAATATTCCTGGAGTTGTGAGCCAGGTAAAACATTTCTTTGCCACAGCTGATTGAAGTATTTTAGTTGTTTTTCAGAACACATCTAGTATTCTGTATTGCTTGTATAAGTGTTTCAAATGTTACAGAACCGTCCCATAATATGAATGCATTGAAAATATTAACCTATACTATCATCATCATCCTTATCTCATTTTAAACATATTTTTAAAAGTGAAACTATTTTGGCTTTTGCTGTCCGTTCAAACTATTGTGGGAACGGATCTTACAAAAAGTTGTACAGTTATTGTAATATTTTGTTAACAGGCAAATTTACCATCATCGTCACATTGTCATCCATTTATCGCTAGAAGACCCATCAGTGGCAAAATGAAGATGCTATTTGATCCTTCCAACAACTAAGTAAGTACAGTATATTACTTCATCTATGGTACAGTAGTGAAATACAAAACGTCATATATAAATAGATCCGTTTAATGTAGATCCTTTCCCTTAAGGAAGGATCTACACCGGCCTACACAGGATCCTACACTGGCTGCAAAGTCCACAATATCCTACCACCATCACTGAAGTCAATGAAGGGAAAACCACTAAAAACACAGCATCACAAGTGGCTGATAGACAGACCTGCCTACTCAAACCTTGAAGGAATTCCTCTAATCCGATCTAAATCATTAACTTTCACTAAATTCCTTACCATATGTTTAAGCACTTACATTAAGATAACAATTTTTCATAATCTAGTCTCCTCTTAAACACTGTTTCTTGCAATTTCACAGTCCATCTATGGACTAAGCCATACAAATTCTTGTACTACTTTTAAGTTATATTATTGTATGACGCCATTGTATTTTCTTAATGAAACTACGAATAAAGAATATTTCTATTCGATTTGATTTGATTTAAGCAGCATATTATATATGCAAATAACATAATTATGAAATGTATTGGAAATTTTGAATTTTGATGCACAATAAAACATCGCACTGTATAATAGTTCTGCAGCATGTGCACTTTTGTCCTTTTAAAAATTCACAGTAAAATTATGTACTAAGGGGATGATTAACTATAAATAGTTTAGAATATTTTTGTTCAAGCAAAAAGCAAAGTAGTTCAAGAACTTCTTGTAACTGTAGACAATTTTCAAATATAAGCTAATGGGATATTGATTTAATATGAGTGGAAGGCTTTTCAAGATACATTATAGTTTTCTGAGTTTAAATTAACTTCAATTTAATATGGGTGGAAGGCTTTTCAAGATACATTATAGTTTTCTGAGTTTAAATTAACTTCATCTTGTATTGTTTCAGAAAACCCAAAAGAGACATCGCTATCCTGAGAGTCGAGAGAGAATTTACATTAGTGTTATACATTATTCTCCTACTTAATTTTGAATGTCAAATTGTAAAAACTGCCTTTGTTTATTGACCATTGTCTGTTTTTCTAAGTTATAAGACTGATTTTCTAAGGGAAAATATGTGTAAGTTTTGATTGTTTTGAGTTCTGTGATATTAGAAAGTTTTGTAATTATTTAAGGTTTATTAGGTGGTTCACCTACAAACTCATTTTAAAGTAATATCTGTGTTTTTCAAAAATGTAAATACTGAATCAGAATTTTTCAAATGTACATAAGTTTTTTAAACGTACATTTAACCTGTGTTTAAGTAGGCTACTGTAAAAAAAGGTTCTACGTTTCAATTTGAAAAGTTTTTCAAAAGTAACTATGTTTAATTTTTAAGGAGATGAGAAATTAATTTTATTGCTTTACTAGCTATAATTTTCACCTGAGTGGGATAAGTGACTTTTTGTATTTTTATAATAAATGTTGAACATAACCAACGGTTTTCATTACTTTACCCTCCCATATTACACATTATTGATACACTCTATGTAAGCAATCTTGGAAGTTTAGTAGTCCATGAAAGAGTTATGTCTCATATTTTGTAATTTTCTCAATAAGTTAAATTTTGATAGTTTAACATGTGTTAAAAAGCAACAAGTAGCCTACTTTGTTTAATATTGTCGGATATTAACATTTAAATTACTCGCTTGACATCTTATGTGTTAATGTGTCTTCTCATAGTTCAGGAAAATTGTATTATTGGCTTTTAGTATTGCAAGTCTTCTTGTCTCACTGTCAAGAAAGAACGATGTTTTATTATGATGTTAGTTAATGCATTGGTTTTTACTTTATCTTATTCTCAAACTTGAGACACTCTTTGGGTATACAGGAATATCAAAAGAACAAGCAAAGCTTTAAGAATTGGTTGTATTTTTGTTAGTAGTGTATTTTATCACTGGGGGAAAAGTGACTCTTTTCGACCCAAGCTCAAGTTTTACGATCGAGGTTAAGCCACAAGGTCAGAAATGAGAGAGGACTGAAAAGACACTTGTTCCCGTATGGCAAACAATATTTTTTTTCATAGTGCACCATTTAAGCAAAAAAGACTACAAAACTTAAATAGGTTTCATGTTAAGATAACACCTCAAGACGACTTCCAAATAGCTTTCAATATTTCCAATGTAAGCAAGCAGTTGTTGTAGTAAGTGATTTAATAATTTTCATCTATTATTAAGATTTTGTTTGTGTGCAAGTACATTATACAGTCAATATTTCGAGCTGAACTTTGGCTCCCATGGACTTTCCATAATCCCATATGTCCTGAGAATGTCTCAGGATATGTATGAATGCCATAGGATATCCCAGAATGTCCCATGACATCCTGGGGCATTTACAAAATCCACTGATATCCTGTAATGTCCCGGTAACAAAATGAGGAAAACAACTACTACCACTGATTGTACTGTCTGGGAAGTAGAATCTCGATTAAGAGACTCATGAGAATGATTTAAATAATACTTATTATCAAGGTTGAACTTTTATCGAGGTTTGCAAAAACATATTATTAGGGGTAAAGTAAATTGACGATTACACTTGTTATAAAGGATTACTTTTTATCGAGGTTCCATCGTAGTGACCAGCATGCAACAAGCCACAACCAATTAAAACAATCGATACATACTTCATATGCATGTGATTGCTTACAATCCAAATTTACAACTGAGTTAACAGCTGATTTATACTCTTTAAGGAGTAAAATAGCTACATAAGACCAGCAATGCATGTGTAAGCAGCTGTTTTTGGCTGTTTTTCCTTCAGAATTACAAAAAATTGTCATGTTAATTATAAAACTAGTTATTCTTCCCGTGCTCCGGAATAGTTACACACACCATGGATCATACAAGTAAATCTCAATCGCACTTCTTTTGGGTATGGTAAACTGGGACGGGTGGCGTCGTCCTGTATGCCAGCAACTAGGAGGTTACGAATTGTGGATATTTATAGACATGCACTGTGGATGCTATACTCCCTGGTGTGGATTAACGTCCGCACGAGTGAGTACTACGACTATCCGCAGTACTATCCTGAAATATAGACCAATTCGTATATATCAAGGCAAAAATGTGATTCGGATTCCACTATAAGATGTAGGTCCCTTAGTTTCCATTAGCTGTATGGGCTATTAATTAACAGCTGTGTCTAAGGAATAACTCTGCCTTAGTCACTAACAAGACTACAAGATCGTGCCACTCATCCTACACTCATGTCCCCTTAAAACCCCTAGATACTTGACCAAATATCTACAAGCCTGATGAACTTAGAGCAAGAATTCTTGATTAGAGCTTCCCGAGGAACTGTCTGTCCATTAATCAACATGCCAAAGGAGTCAGCTCTTACTGACTCTTAGCTTTCTACTGTCAAAGAGCAGATGTTCAGTGGTAAAGGTAAAGCGGCTCATCTATCAGAGATAATTAACAGTTCATTGTGTCTGTAGCCTTGACCCATTATTTTCCGGCTTAAATTCAATATATGGCAATTGGAATTCAGAGACATTAAAACCTATATAGATGCGGATCCCGCTTCTCCTCGTGGCCATTCCGGCGATCTGCCTAGTTGCCTCTTTGGACAGAGAGTAAGGAGGGTGGGTTCTTTTATTTTGAAGCTCACATATAATGTTGGCCAGCTCTGCATCTTTGATTTGATGCGGGATGAGATCGGAAAAGGCCAGGGGGGAAGGCAAAAGCACAGCTCTACTGGCTCCAAATATGATGCCTGGTCGTCAGATAAATGGTCAATCCTAGAAAGAATGTCAGCAATGACATTCTGAGTGCCACGCACATGTTGCACTTGGAATTTTAGGGACTAAATTTGGACGACCTAACGACCAATTTTTCCGAGCTGCAGGGGATGTACGAGAATCTAGGAGAGTGCCTGGTTGTCAGTCTCAAGCAACAATTCCTTGTGTTCTAGGAACCTTCGGATCTTATTTATGCAAAAGACGACTGCCAAACACTCCAGCTCATGAACAGAAGAGCTTTTCTTCTCGCAAGGTGTTAAGGTGCCAGAAGCATACGCAATAGGCTACCTTATACCATCCACTCAGCAACACAGCAGACAACACAGTGGCAATGGCTGAGAAGGAAGCATCTGTCTGAAGGACGAACTTTTGACCAAAATGTAACATAGCCAGCACTGGAGGTTGCATCACTGCCTCCTTCAACAAATCAAAGGACGTCTGCTGAGCTTCACCCCACTCAAACTTGGTACCCTTCTTCCTAAGCGTATTCAAAGGAGTTCCCAACTCCGCAACATTCGGAATGAAACGCCTACAAAAATTTATCATGCCAACATAACGGGCCACACCCTTGACATCCTTAGGAGGGCAAACTGTTGAAGATCAATTCTAATGTTTATGAAAATATTGTTTAAATGTATTTGAATTTGGAACAGATGGTATTATTTCATATGCTAAAGAATATCAATAGTGATTGTTCCTACGTTGTAAATAGTTGGTTTCAGTCTTTCATTTTTTGTAAGTAAATTAAAATCTTTAATCCAAGTCTAAAGTTTTCCCCTAATTTATACCTCCTTACTTTAGAGTGTAACAGTTTATTGGCTAATAAATTGAGGATGAGGTTGACTTGGAATGGCAATAGGAATTCCAATTTTGGTATTGAAACCTTTTGATGGACACAATTTTAGTAATTGGATGTTCGGATTAGAGTTAGTATTGGAACAGTATAAAATCCTAGATGCTTGACTCAAGAAATTACTGAAGAAAAAATCCAAGGTCTGCCTTTATGGAAAAAGATGTTAAAGCAAGAGGTCTGATAGTACAACATATCACGGATGATATCATGTCGACCATCAAGGGCCAGAGGACAGCAAAAGAAATTACGAATCTCCTCAAGAGGACGTATAGAACGACTGGCATTGGAGAGCAAACACGAATCAAACAGGAACTGGGTAACTTAAAGTTCAACGGTGAGAGCTCATTACTGTCTTATTGCACAAAATTTGAATCTTTGGTAAATGACCTTAAGTCTGCTGGTGGAACAATAAACAATCAGGAAATAATAACGACACTTTTGTCTTCCATGCCCTTAAATTATATGTGAATCATCAATTGAAGTAATTTCAATACTTAAGCTCACACATGATACAATCCAAGAGGAAACCAGAAATGATCCGAATTTGTCAAAATTACTGAAAGAACTGCGACAAAATCAATCAGAAGATTCAGAATTGACCATTTCTGATGGCATCATCTTCCGCGGTTCTCGAGTTGTCATACCAGCAAGTCTTCAAGACTCCGTCCTTCAAGAACTTCACCACACACACATCGGATCAACAAAGATGAAACAACTTGCCCGCCGTTATGTGTATTGGAGATCCATTGACAAATACATCGAAAGAGTTGAACGAGCTGTCCAGCATGTGCTTCTACCAGATATAGTCCACCCAAAGCTCCCTTACACCCTTGGGAGGAACCTGAAGGTAACTGGCAGAGAGTACACTTTGACTATGCTGGTCCCTTCCAGAACCACCACTTCCTAGTCATTGTGGATGGCAAATCTAAATGGGCCGAAGTAGAAGTATGTTCATCTGTATCAACTTCATCATCAACCATAGGGATTCTTCAGAATGTATTCTCACGCTACGGCTTCCCAGACGTAATGGTATCGGACAACGCTGCTATTTTCACTAGCGACACATTTCACCAGTTCTGCAAAGAAGGAGGAGAATTTTTCATAAATTCATAGCACCGGGACATCCAACGACCAATGGGTTGGCTCAAAGAGACATCAAGACCCTCAAAAATCTACTTTTTACCATGATTGAAGAACCTTTCACAATGAAACAAATGATTAGGGAAATACTCTTCAGATACAAAGGTGCTCTTGTCCTTTCCGTGACACTGAGAAATAAGGACATTAATGCGTTACCAACAGACATACACACAAAAATACAGAGCTTAATTAGGGAATTTGCTATGCTTTAAGCATAACAAAGTTTATATAAAATTAGTATTTGAAATCTTTGTTAATATCATAAAATTTTATCATAACAATTTATATTTGCTTGG